AGTGAATAAGTCTAATGAGATCTGATGGTTTTATAAGGGGGAGTTTCCCTGCACAAGCTCTCTCTTTGCCTTCTGCCATGATTGTGAGGCCTCCCCAACCATGTGGAACTGTGTTGGTATGGAAATTATTTTAAACTGAAGCCACTGGGGATTCAACAGGTGCAGAAAGAAGCCTTCTTCGTGCTTCCTTTATCTGACAAGCACTATCACAAACTATGCCTCATTTGTTCTTCTAGAAACTCTATAGAATTCTATTCTTCCTATAGAATACATGACACACCTGGGGAGGAGGGTTTACATCATACACACCTGTGTCCCCCAACCCCTGAGGGTCTGATTTGGTCCATCAGGGGTTTAGGACTAGATATTGGGATTTTTCTTTTTAAAAAATAATCATGAAGACCCTTCAAATGGCATCCTTTCCCTTTCATTCTCCCATAGGAAGAGAAGAGTGATGGTCAGTGTAAAAGGCAAGCTGCAGAGAAGCACCCCCAAGAGCTGGCTGCATGCTCAGGAGTGAATGCTGAACCTCCTCCTCATGGTTTCCGGTGTTCCACATGTTCAAAGAAACTTCTCTGGTAAGAACTGTAGCAACGGTGCATGGAAGTGTTACCAGAAAGGGTTCCCAATCCAGACACCAGGAGGAGGCTCTTGGATCTCACACAAGAAAGAATTTAGGGTGAATCTACAGAGCAAGGTGAAAGCAAGTTTATTAGTTTGTTTTCACACTGCTAATAAAGACATATCCAAGACTGTTTATACAGGAAAGAGGCTTAATGGACTCACAGTTCCACATGGCTGGGGAGGCCTTACAATCATGGTGGAAGGCAAAGAGGAGTAAATCATGTCTTACATGGATGGCCACAGGCAAAGAAAGAGCTTGTGCAGGGAAACTCCCCCACTTACTAAACCATCAGATCTCATGAGACTTATTCGCTGTCATGAGAATTGCACAGGAAAGACCTGCCCCCATGATTTGATTACCTCCCACTGGGTTCCTCCCACAACATGTGGGAATTCAAGATGAGATTTGGGTGAGGACACAGTCAAATCATATTGTAAGGCTGACTGAAAGGATGGAGAGGCAGACCCAGGGTCAGGTTTAGCAAGCTTATTTCAACCTGCCAGGCTGGCTGCCTCACCACAGGCAGTGAAGTCAGTAGCTTGGCTTACAGACTATGGGGGTTACATAGGGGGTTTGCAGGTAGCTGGGTGTTATTATAAGGAAAATTGCATCTTGGTTCTCAGGGACTGACATTCTGCTTAATTGGGTCAACGTCCTGGGTTCGAGCTGGGTGTGACCACATCCTGGAACCTAGGTGCCCTGTTTACAAGGCTTGAGGCTTAGCAGGGGAGAACGAGAATGGGGAGGGGGTCTATGGGCTTGCCTTGCTGTATCCCTAACATTCCAGTCTTTTGTTGTATATATAAAAGAAAGGGAAAAGGGGGCTGTTTGTTTCTAGCTGCTTTATGTCATGCTGAGTAGGGGTGCTGGTTGGGGTGAGGCTGGGTTGCAAGTTGGTAGTCCTGTATTGTGCCATGGGTAAAAACCTTGTAATTAATTATGCAAAAACTGGGTGAAAAGGTGTAAAAGGCAAGGGCCAAGGACCAAGAGGAGGAGGAGAGTTGCAGCAGGGCTGAGGAGGGGAAGCAGCCGAGGGGCCCAGGAGCTGAGAGACCAACCGGGCCAGGAGGGCCAGGCAGAAGAATTGTGTTTTTTTCATTTTTGGGGTTTGGACTTTGAGCCCTTTGATAGTACTTTGTACTAACCTAGATTTATTGAGGTAGAAAAAGCATTGTTTATTTAAAAAGAGGCACAGCCTTTTTTTTTTTTTTTTCCCAGCAGCGAGGAGGTCTCAGCCTCTGCGGTTTTTGTGGGGTGACTGCTGATGAAGAGTTTAGTTGGTTTTAGAGGTGAGTGATAGCATTTGCTAATTTTTTTTTTTTTTAACTGATGATTGGAAGTTTTGGGAGAGTGACTGGAAATATGATAGTGAGGTTTTTAGGCTTCCTGCTTTTAAGGGCTACTCATAAGGGAATGAACTGTATTGTTCTTTCTGGGTGGGTGTGTAGGGTAGCAGGGACAGGGAGCACTTGGTCTGGTGGGACAAGGTTAATGTTGGGGTAAGGTAGACCAGGGTGCAAGTATCTGTCCAGTTTGCGGATCCACAACCTACTTCTGTCTCCTGCCGAGGAGGAAGATGCCTGCGGTGTTAATGTAAACAGACAAGTGGGTTGAGAACAGGTGTTGGAGTGTGTAGGTTCCTTGTGTGTGGAGGGACTTGGTCCAGCTTCAGCAACCCAGAGGAGGAGAGAGAGACGCCTTTGAGAACTCCTGTCTGGGAAAGGGTTTCCATGTTTGAGAGGCAGAAGAGGAGGTAATGTGGAGGGGCTGGGTAAAGAGGCAGTTAGCTGCAGGGGAAACTGAATAATTTACTTGGAGTGAGGGATGGGAAGAGGGATGAGAGATGGCTTGAGCTGGGCCGCAGGCAGAGGGAGGGATGCTGCCTATGTGTATGTGTCCGCTGGAAGAGGTGACACCTAAGAGGGCTTGGCCAAGTTTTGGGGTGTGGAGGGTTATGGGACTTTGGATGACAGGGTGAGGGGGTTTTGCATGGTTGTAATTGGCAGTATATGTGGAGAGAAGTTTGGTAGCTCTGTTGGCAAGGGCAGTGGGATGGTTTTTAGTGAGGGTGAGGGCTCTGTCTACTTTGGATGGTGTGAGAAGCGAATGGGAATATGGTCCTAGATCTGAGAAACTGGGATAACTGAGTAGGCAGGAGAGGAAAGGGAAAGCAGGTATGGGGAGGTGGCTGATAGAGTCCTAGGGATCGTTAAACTCCTTTTGAGATTTTTGTCTTTTATTTTTCTGTGCGGGAATGGGGGAGAGGAGAGGACTTTTAATATTTGTTATGAGGAGAGGCTGTCTCTCTTAGCTGATGTGTGGGGACAGGAGGACAGCGGAGGCCCCTTGAGAGGAAGTGACAGAGCATACACGACAGCTTGAGGTTATGTTTTTTAGCGAGGGAAATAGGCGGGATGAACAGATGTAAGGACGAAGGAGAAGGTACAGGGGCGTGCGCCGATATGGAAGGATTGGTGAAGAGATGTTAGAATTTCTTTGGTTTGTTTTTGAGGGAGGATGACTTTTTTGATTTTTGACTATCCAGTTTCCTTGGAAGGAGGCGTCTTGTTGTAACGATGAAGCTTTTTTGGTGGGGGATACTGGGGTTGGATTGTGGGGTGACAAGGAGGAGAGGGGCAGGCTCTTTTTTTGCTGCCTCGTCGGCGTTTCTGTTCACTTTTGAGATTTCATCTGATCCTGTTTGGCGTCCTCGGCAGCGTGTAACTCCTGCCTTAGCCGGGAGGGGTGCAGCTTGGAGGAGCTTTAGAGATGGGGGTTTGCCTAGAGTGGTGAGGCATAAGGAAAGAGTGGGAGAAAACAGTATTAGATAGTGAACAAGTGAGGAGTTCGGTGGCACGTGGCACGTGGCACGAGATAAATCCATCAACCTCCACAACAGAGACCTGTGAGGGATGAGTTGGTCCTGAAAATTCAGGCAAAGCTGAGTAGGTGCTTGGTGTTAATTAAAAAAGAGACTGGCTTACCTGCTACTAACAGTTACCATGGGCCCCGATACAGTGACGGCAGATGGGGCTGGGGCCCGGTGCCCTGGGCTCTGTCAATCTTCAGCGGCTAAGCCAAGGAGCTGTGGGAGTGCAAGCGATTCTTCACCTTTTGTCTCAGTGAAGGGCTTGCGGGTTGGAGGTACAGGCTTTTCTGTCTGCCTGTTGGAGGACAGTCAGACTTCCAGTCGCCTGTCTGCTGGCAGATGGGGAAGGGGCCCTTTGGCGCCCGGGATTGGGACATGCCTGAGCCTAATGGCTTTCCTTGCTGCACTTGAAACATGGCCTTGGAGGTGCACTGCTTTTGGGTCTTTTGTGCCCCTGGGTGCCACAGCCAGGCTGTTTAGGTTGGTGCATGGGTGCTGCTAGACGCTGGTGTTGAGCACCATCTCTCTGGGCCTTGTCTATTTCACTTTGCTCATCCCTGATATTGAAGACCTGGAAGGCCAGGTTAAGGAGGTCTTGCTGTGGGGTCTGAGGGCCATCTTCAGCCTTTTTAAGTTTGTGCTGGATGTCTGGAGCAGACTGGGAGATGAAATGAGTGTTAAGAACTATGGTGCCTTCTTGAGGCCAGGACTAACATGGGTGTATTTTTGGAGGGTGTCTGTAAAGGCGGGAAAGAAACTGGGCAGGATTTTTGTTTGCCTTTTGGGAAATTTCTCTGAGCTTTTCAAAATTTACTTGCCTCAACGCAGGCCTTAACAAAGCTGCCCATAGGCTGTAATCATTTGGTTACGAGATGCCCGGCTGGGATCTGTAGGCTGATATTCCCAGGCCTGTTTCTCTCGTGGGACAGCAGCGCCCCCCACAGGTTTAGTAGGGTCCTGCCGGTGGAGGTCATCAGCATGTGCCTGTGCCGTAAGCCACACTCTTTCCTTCTCTTCCAGGAGGAGAGAGTGCTACAGAGATCATGCCAGGTAAGTTCATTAGACTGGGTAAGATATTTAAATTCTTTAAGTGTCTAGATCGGAGGAGAAAGACCCGAGGCGCTTTTTGATTTGGGAGAGATCAGATAGATACAAGGGGACAGGAAAGCGGACAATGCCTTCCACCCCCGCCACTTCTCTAAGGAGTAAGTAAGTGAGCTGGCTGCTGGGAATGCCGGTCCGGGAGCAAGTGTGGGGTGGAGATGGAGAGGAGTCGGAGTTGGAAGTGGGTGGGGGTGTGGAGGGGGGAGGGCGGAGGGGACAAAGGAAGAGCTAGAGCAGGGACATAGGGCAGAGGCTCTGGGCACTGGTGGGGAGAAGGGAAGTCAGCCGGGTCAAAAGAGGATGTGTTGTCTGCTGGGACTGTGGGAGGGGTTGAGCTGGGTTTCAAGCTCAACCTTGAAACATTGGGGAACCTCAGAACGTTCACCACTGTGGTGGAAGGAATTTTCAAGGTCTTAAAGAATGTTGAAATTTAAAGCACCATTCTCAGGCTACTGAGAACGATTATCTCATTTATATTGGGGCCAGGCTATATTACAGTAGAAAATTAATCTCGTGGGCCTGACTTCAGACTGGAGACCAAAGCTGTCTGGATACCGGAGGAGACATCCTAAAGGGGTAGTTTTAGACGGAAATGACTGGCCAGACCCCATGGTAAAAGGCCAGAAGAGGAGGAGGCTGCTGAGAAGGAAGGTAGGAGAGAGCATCCTCTGCCCTGTTTCTTCTACCTAAGACAGTGAATTCAGAACAGTCACTGTCCAACTAGGCATCCCCAGGATGACAGGACTGAAGTCCCTGGGGCTGGAAGGGCATCCTCAGCCCAGTGCTGGGACTTTTTGGGACAGAAAACAGAGGGTTGAGGAACCTGGATGGAGGCAAACCTCTATCCACCTTACGGGCTAGGAGGTGATGATGTGGATGGAGATAACCACAGTTGGCAATGGAGGTCTGGGGTTTCCCTCCTGGGTCTGGAAAGGGGTTCGGGATGGGGGGGGCTAGCTGTGGAGGCAAAGAGAGAAAGAGTGGCCAGCACCTACTCCCGTCCCGGGTTTCAGCACCAAAACATAAGGCTGACCAAAAGGATGAAGAGGCAGACCCAAGGTCAGGTTTCGCAAGTTTATTTCAACCTGCCAGGCAGCAGCCTGGCTTACAGACCGTGGGGTTATATAGGGGGTTTGCAGGTAGCCAGGTGTTATTCTAAGAAAAACCGCATCTTGGTTCTCAGGGACTGACATTCTGCTTAATTGGGTCAACATGGTGGGTTCGAGCTGGGTGTGAACACATCCTGGAACCCAGGTGCCCTATTTACAAGGCTTGAGGCTGTTTTTGTTATGAGCTCAGCTTAGCCAGGGAGAACGAGAATGGGGAGGGGGGTCTGTGGGCTCGCCTGGCTGTGACCCTAACACATATCATTTAGGAAAGTAAAAAGTACAGCTTCTCAATAGAGCGGACCCAAGGGCTGCTGGTTGCCCATGTTTATGGTTGTTTATTGATTTTATGCTAAACAAGGGGTGGATCATTCATGCCTCTCCTTTTTAGACCCCATAGGGTAACTTCCTGACAGTGCTATGGCATTTATAAACTGTCATGGGGCTGGTGGGAATACAGCAGTGAGGACGACCAGAAGGCAGTCTGATGGTTGTAGCTAGCATCTGTACTGCAGCTAGTTTTACCTGCAAGGTCTCTGTGAGCTGTAGCTTGTGCCAGCCACCTATTCCATTCTGTGACCAAATGTCTTAGCCTCCTGGGAATGCAGCCCAGTATGTCTCAGTGTGATTTTACCCAGCCCCATTCAAGATGGAGTTGCTCTGGTTCAGACACCTCTGACGGAAGCGTAGTCTTGACATCAGGGTTTTAAAAAGCTCCCCGGGTAATTCTAAAGTGCTTCGAAGATTGAGAAGCACTACATAAGATTAGAGCTTTTAAATTGCAGGGGTAAGTCACTAGGAACCATGATAAAACACGAATGCTGATTAGTCAGTCTGGGGTGGGGCCTGAGCTTCTGCATTTCTAAAAAGCTTCCAGGAGACCCAGTGCTGCTTGTTGGGGACTAAACTTCCAAGGCACTGGACCAGATAACGTACTTCCAAATGTCCTCTACTCAAGCCATGACTCACGACCTGTTTTGGGGGCGGGAGGGTCTCTTCATTCAGAACACACATTTTAACATTTAACATTTGGTGCTGAAACCCAGGACAGGGGTACTCTGGTGGGGAGACCAGCCCCCTGTCCTTGCTCCCCCTCTGAGAAGAGACCCACCTGAGACCTCAACACATCAGACCAGCCCAACTGCTCACATTTATCGTGCCAAGCAGCTCTCCTGCCACCTTCAGATTGGGTAAGCAGTCTCTCCCTCTTTTCCTTTAAATCTTTCTCCTTCTAGTAGAGACAAAGGAGATACTCGTTATCTGTGTAGAGACAGCTCTCTCTCAAAAACTCCAACATTAGTCATGGGCTTGGGAAGACAGTCTTCCCTTGGTGTCTGGTCAATCTCGGGGACGCCTGCCTTGATCACTCGCCCACGTCACAGCCCTGGGTTCAGTCAGGGCCGCCTACTGAAAACTGGTAGCTGCCCGCTCCTTCTCCTCCTCTCTACTCTGCTTCTCTCCTGAAAACTTATCTCCTTGCCGGGGCAATATTCGGCCCTCTATTCCTCTGTCTTCGCCTCTAGCCTGCATGCTAAAAAACCTAAAACCTCTTCACTGTCACCCAATCTGAAACCTAAATATCTGTTCTTTTTCTGTAACACGGCCTGGCCTCAATACAAATTAGACAGTGGCTCCAAATGGCCAGAAAATGGCACTTTCAATTTTTCTGTTCTGTGAGACCCACACAATTTTTTTTTTTTTTTTAACAAATGGGCAAATGGTCTAAGATGCACGATGTCCAGGCGTTTAATACTCCAGTCCCTCCCTAATCTCTGCTCTCAGTGCCACCCATCCCAAATTGTCCTCCTCTCCCTTCTGCCCGCGACCCAGAAACCTCCTTGTCCATCAACCCTTCCGACCTTTCTCCTCCCCACCTGTCTGAACCAAACCCCAATCCAGGCCCTAACAATCCCCTCCCCCCCACCCCGCCCCCCTCTTCTACCTCTCACAACCCACCTCCTCACCTCATACCCGGTCCAGCCTAGTCCTCCGTCCCTGCCCCACAATTCCCCCTTCAAGAGGTGGCTGGAGCCAAAGGCATAGTTAGGGTACGTACACGTTCCCTTCTCTTTATCTGACCTGTCCCAAATCGGCCAACTGTTAGGCTCCTTTTCATCAGATCCTACTAAATATATACAAGAGTTCCAATACTTAACCCAGTCCTAGAATCTCACCCAAAGTGACTTAAATGCCATCCTTACTTCTACCCTCACCCCTGAAGAATGCTTAATATGCATTTTATCACCCAGTCAGCCCCTGACATTTAAAAAGCTACAGAAATTAAAATCTGGCCCTCCAACCCCACAACGGGATTTAATCAACCTCACCTTCAAGGTGTTCAGTAATAGGGAAGAAGCTGCCCGGCGGCAGCGCATCTCAGCACTACCGAGGCTGCCTCTGCCGTGAGGCAAACCCCAGCCACGCCACCGGCTCACAAACATGTCAGAGTGCCCAGACTGCAGCGTCCAGTTGCCCCTCCCAGATCTTGTTTCAGGTGTTGGAAGCCTGGCCACTGGGCCGAGGAATGCCCGCCGCCTGGGATTCCTCCTAAGCCCTGCCCCGTCTGTGTGGGGTCGCCGCTGAAAGTCAGACTGTCTGATTCACATTGCTGTTCTCAGAGCTCCTGGACTGAGTCCTGCCCAGATCTCCGTGGCTTGGTGGCTGAAGCCTGACGCTGCCCGAACATCTCAGAGGTCTCCTGGACCATCACGGACACCGAGTTTTGGGTAAATTTACGGTGAAGGGTAAGTCCATCCCCTTCTTAATCGGTCTGGAGTCCACGCACCCCACGCTGCCTTCTTTTCAAGGACCTGTCTCCTTGGCCTCCATAACTGTTGTGTTAATCGACAGCAAGGGCTCCAGGCCTCTCAAAACCCCCCAAGTGCGGCGTCAGTTAGGCCCGCACTCCTTTCCACATTCGTTCCTAATCATCCCCACCTGTCCAGCTCCCCTAAGGCCAGGCTATCCTAGCAACATGTCTGCGTCCTTAACTACTCCGGGGCTACAGCCACACCTCATTGTCGTCCTCCTCCCGGAACCCATACCTCCCTCAGTAGCTCCCCTTATGTTCCCCAACCCTAACCCTAGGGAGCGGGACACCACCTCCGCATCCCTCACTGCAGGTCACTCACCCCCATCATCCCCTTAAAACCTAACCACCCTTATCCCTCCCGGCGCCAGTACCCCACCCCAGCACAGGCCTTAAAAGGCCTAAAGCCTGTTATTACTCGCTTACTACAACATGGCCTTTCAGTTCCTACATCTCCAAACACCAGACATATCCTCCAGGCTAGTCCAAGACCTCCGCCACAGCAATCGGATTGGTTGTACCAAACCCCTGTACCCCCCTGTCTTCCATACCCCCTTCCACAATTCACTATTCTGTTCTTGACTTCAAAAATGTTTTTCTAAAGCCCAAATCTCTTCCCCATTTGTTACCTTTCTTGGTATAATCCTTCGCCGGCATACACGCACTCTCCCTGTATCCAGTTAACTTCCCAAACCCATCCACTAAACAGCAGCTTCTCTCCTTCCTAGGCATTGTAGGATCCCAGGTTTCGCCCTCCTAACCAAACACTTTATAAACTGACAAAAGGAAACTTAGCTAGACCCATAGACCCCAAATCCTTCCCCCATTCTTCCTTTTGCTTTTTAAAGAAGGACTTAGAAACAGCCCCTATAGTAGTGCTCCCCAACTCCTCCCAACCCTGCTCCCTTCATGTGGCAGAAGCAGAAGGCTGTGCAGTCAGGGTTCTGACACAAGAGCCAGGCCCACGACCGGCTGCCTTCTTGTCTAAACAGCTTAACCTCACAGTTCTAGGCTGGCCGTCATGTTTACACACTGTGGCCGCCACAGCTGTAATACTCCTAGAATCCCTTAAAATTACAGGCTGTGCTCCACTTACCCTCCATAGCTCTCACAATCTCCAAAGTTTAGTTTCCTCTTCACACCTCACACACTTACTTTCAGCCCCTCGCCGTCTTATTGAAACCCCCACCGTAACCACTGCTCTTGGACCTGACTTCAACCCAGCCTCTCACTTAATACCCAACACAGACCCTGAACCCCATGACTGCATCTCCCTAATCCATATGCGTCCTCCCCATTTCCCACTTCCAGACCACACATGGTTTATTGATGGCAGCTCCTCCAAGCCTAGTCGGTTGGCACTGGCCAAAGCTGGCTATGCTGTTGTATCCCACTCATGTATTACCGAGGCGGCCACAATCCCCTCTTCCACTGATTCTCGGCAAGCTGAACTGATTGCCTTAACCTGTGCTCTTACTCTTGCCAAAGGACTACAGTTCATAGCAACACTGACTCCAAATACGCCTTCCACATCCTACACCACCATGCTGCCACATGGGCAGAAAGAGGTTTTCCAACCACACAGGGATGCTCTATTATCAACGCCCCCTTAATAAAGGTCTTCCTTAAGGCCACTCTCTTCCCAGCCAAGGCTAGAGTGATCCACTGCAGAGGACACCAAAAACCATCAGATTCTCTTGCCCAAGGAAATCTTCCATGTAGGATACAAGCCCCTGGCTTGTCTTTTAGAACCCCTTATTTCTTTTCCATCATGGAATTCCACCCTCAAAACAGTCACATCTCAATGTTCTGTCATTCCACTCCTCAGGGCTTTCTCAGACTCCCTCCTTTTCTTTTCTTTTTTTTTTTTTGAGACGGAGTTTCGCTCTTGTTACCCAGGCTGGAGTGCAATGGCGCGATCTCGGCTCACCGCAACCTCCGCCACCTGGGTTCAAGCAATTCTCCTGCCTCAGCCTCCCAAGTGGCTGGGATTACAGGTGTGCGCCACCATGCCCAGCTGATTTTTTGTATTTTTAGTAGAGACGGGGTTTCACCATGTTGACCAGGATGGTCTCGATCTCTTGACCTCATGATCCACCCGCCTCGGCCTCCCAAAGTGCTGGGATTACAAGTGTGAGCCACCGTGCCCGGCCGACTCCCTCCTTTTCTTATACACCAGGCCCCGGATTTTCCCCTGCACAAGATTGGCAGATAAACTTCAAGTTTTGCCTAGGTAGGCATTCACCTTGTCTCTCACTCCATCCTTGGCTGCCCTCCCCTTGTTCACCAGATTCTCCTCCAGACCCCTCTTCCTGCCTGCTTATTCTTAACCTTGTTAATGAAAGTGAATGGTTACTCAGATACCAAACGCTTTTGCAAACACCATGAAAACATGAGCTCTCCCTCCATACGGTTATCCTACCAAACCCCGCGACAACCTTTAACTGCCACAGCCCTTGCTGGTTCCCTTGGTATTTGGGTCCAAAGTCCCAGCCCCCTTGGAACACTTTCTCACCTTTTTGGTTTACACTTCCACCTCTGTTTAAGCCAAGGACTTTTTTCCCTCTGTGGTTCTTCTCCTTACATCTGCCTTCCTACCAACTAGACAGGCACTTGTACCCTAATTTTCCTTACTCCCAAAATTTGGTTTGTCAACCAAGACAAAAGCTTCCCTGTTCCCCTTGTGGTCCCAACGTAACACAAGCAGGTCATTCCACGGATCCCCTTATTTGTAATCAGCACAGGCATAGCAGGCCTAACCCCTTCAATTGTCACCTTCCATAGCCTCTCTAATGATTTCTCTGCTAGCACTGCAGAATTAATCACTATACCTTCTTCAAGCTCAAGTAAATTCCCTAGCTGCAGTTGTCTTCCAAAACTGCTGAAGTCTTAATTTACTGACTGCTAAGAAAGGAGGTCTTTGCCTATTCTTAAGTGAAGAATGTGTTTATGTAAACCAGTCTGGCCTCGTATGTGATGCCATCAACAGATTAAAAGACAAAGCCCAAAAGCTCGCTAATCGGGCAAATGGTGATTCTGGACCTGGCTGGACAACTCTCTAACTGTGTGTCATGGCTTCTTCCAATCATTAGTCCTCTGATACCTATCTTTCTCCTTCTCTTATTTGGACCCTGTGTTTTCTGACTAATCTCTTAATTCCTCCAAAAACTGTATACAAGCGATAACTAATCAATACAACAAATGCTCTTTCTAACAACCACACAGTATCACCCCTTGCCCTAAGATCTCCCAGCAGTCTAAATTCTTTCCCATTTTTAGGTTTCTGCATCACTCCCAATCCCTTTCAAAGAAGCCCTGAGAAACATCTCCCCTTTGTGTCAGCCTTCCTAATATTCCACTGCCCTCCACTCTTCATTTCCTTTTCCTTTATATTACTAATATAAAAAGACAGAACTGCAAGGTCTTTTAAGCCGACTGACTGCGCCACGGACAGCATGGTAACCTCTGTGACCTGTATGTACATTCCAGATGAGTTTCTGGAACTAGAAAGTTTGAAGTAACTGGAAGACCATAAAAGGGGAAGAATGATCAACCCCTGCAGTGCCTAATTAACTTTGAGACATTCTTCTATTGTTCCCTATTCCTGCCTCAACTGATAATGCAACTGGCTTTGTAATCAACCTTGGTCAACCTCATGGCACCAGACCCTACGATCCCCTTCCAGCTTGCAAAAACTGCCCTGAACTGTAACTTCTGCAACTTTCCACTGCCTACCCCAAACCTATAAAACCAACTCCTATCCCACTGCCCTCCGCTGACTCTCTTTTTGGACTCAGCCTGCCTGCACTCAGGTGAATAAACAGCCATGTTGCTCACACAAAGCCTGTTTAGGGGGTCTCTTCATTCAGAGTACGTTTTAACACACAGGTTCAAGTGATTCTCCTGCCTCAGCCTCCTGAGTAGCTGGGATTATAGGCATGTGCCACCACACCTGGCTAATTTTTGTATTTTAAGTAGAGAAGGGGTTTCACCATGTTCATCAGGCTGGTCTCAAACTCCTGACCTCAGGTGATTCACCCACCTAGGCCTCCCAAAGTGTTGGGGTTACAGATGTGAGCCACCTCGCCCAGCCAACTGTTTTCTGTCCTTGTAATTGGTTTCATGACAATTGGATTAATACGTCACCTGCTGGACACTGGGTAAGAACTCTCCAAGTGTAAGAGGAAATTTTTCTGCAAATGGATCTCATGTTACATAGCATGGGCCTACTGTGATGTCAGAGTTACAGAATTTTGACTTGAGCATCAAATACTAACAAACAGATATGTTCCCTATATACATTTGCATAAATCAGTCAAGGAGAATCCTGTAATCCTAGCACTTTGGGAGGCCAAGGTGGGTGGATCACCTGAGATCAGGAGTTCAAGACCAGCCTGGCCAACATGGTGAAACCCCGTCTCTACAAAAATATAAAAATTAGGTGGGCATGATGGCAGGTGCCTATAATCCCAGCTACTCAGGAGGCTGAGACAGGAGAATATCTTGAGCTTGGGAGGTGGAGGCTGCAGTAGCCAAGATGGCACCGTTGTACTTTAGCCTGGGCAACAGAGTGAGACTGATTCCATCCATCAATCCATACATGTCATGCACAAAGCATGATTTTTAAAAAATAAAAACAAACTCTTTGGTCCCTACAATCATGTCTGACAGATCTTAACAACAAACACGTTCCTAATGAAGTCATAATACATAGGAACTCATATTGGCCCAAGGTAGGATCTAGATGTTTCAGAAACTAGTCTCTTCACCCTGATTTAGACCACAGGTGTTCACAGCCTCAGGCAGTGGGTCCCTTTGACAGTGGAAGGACTCGTGCACTGCAAAGAAAGATCATTTATGGTATTTGTCTACTTGGGCATTTGGAGGAATTTATCTGAGAGATCTCTGTTCCTCTGTGGCCCTGACATG